CTGCACGCAGGCCAGAGGTTGAAGACAGCTGACGTCATCGCTGACGTCATCAGCCAGTCAGAGCTGTGTCAGCGACACATCAGTGCCACGAGTGCACATCCGCCACATCATCAGCTCACTGACATCTTCCACCAGCGCCCAGTCAGCTGCCACGTCAACGTCCAGTTAGCGCCACGTCATCTGCCACGTCACCGGTCAGTTTTTTAATTTTGAAAAATTGCAGTTAGGTCCCTCAATTTTGGAAAATTATAATTTCCACCTATAATTTTTCGAAAATTGTATTTTGACCCCGAAAGTGTCTACCCACCATTTTTGGCCGTTCCGGATGCAACGGTGCTGCCCGTTTTTCAAAATTCTGCTCCGATTTTTCTCAAACAGAATATTAAAATTATTTAGAAGGTGAAAATGACCTTTGACGAGTCAACTTCATCTTCCGGAGCTATGATTATGCTCACGGCTACCAACTACACGCTATGGAAACCTCGGATGGAAGATTTCCTTAGCTGTAAAGACCTTTTTGATCCAATAGAGATGAAAGGTATTAATCCTGACCCACCCAAATCAATAGAGTGGAAGAAAATAAATAGAAAAACTATTGGTCAAATCCGTCAATGGATTGATCATAGTGTCTTCCACCACGTTGCACAAGAAACCGACGCTTATGCCCTTTGGAAGAAGCTGGAAGATATGTACCAGGCCAAGACCGCCAGGAATAAGGCCCTACTGATGAGGCGTCTTGTCAATATGAAGCTCAAAAGTGGAACTTCTGTTGCCGAACATACTAGTCAGTTTCAGAGTCTGGTAAATCAACTATCTTGTGTAGAAATGCCACTTGGAGATGAAATGCAATCTCTACTACTTCTTAGTTCCCTTCCTGATAGTTGGGAGACACTAGTTGTTACTCTCAGCAACTCAGCCCCAGATGACAAACTTACCATGTCTGTGGTCAAGGATGCATTGTTCAATGAGGAGGCAAGGAGGAAAGACATGAGCACAGATCAGACTCATGCTCTTGTGACGGAGAATCGAGGAAGATCACAAGGAAAGCAACAAAGAAACAGTAGAGGAAAGTGGCAAAGCAGAGGCAAAAGTCGGGGGAGATCATCAGATGGCCGGAAACCTTCTTATACCTGCCACCATTGCGGTATAGAGGGTCACATGAAGAAGAATTGCTACAAATTGCTAGAGGAGCGAGGCAAGAGCAATTCTCAAGCGAAGAACAAGGGTGGTGAAGCGCTCATCACAATCTCAGGTGATGTGGCGTATTGTACTAGCAATGATGAAACATGCCTGCACGTCTCAAGAGAGGACACTGAATGGGTGGTAGATACTGCAGCATCCTACCATGTTACTCCCCACAGGTACTACTTCACAACTTACAAAGCTGGAGACTTTGGAGCAGTAAAGATGGGCAATTCCAGTTCCTCTGGAATAGCTGGAATTGGTGATATACAAATAAAGACGAGTACTGGGAGCACAATCACTTTGAAGGATGTCAGACATGTCCCAGACCTTCGGCTCAATCTCCTATCTGTGGTATGTCTTGACGAACAGGGGTATGACAACCACTTTAACAGGAGCACCTGGAAAATGTCAAAGGGCGTTTTGACAATCGCTCGAGGACATGTTTGTGGCACATTGTACAAAACCCATTTGAGGATTTGTATGGATAGCCTCAACATTGCAGAGGAGACTTCTCAGAATCTGTGGCACCTGAGGCTCGGCCACATCGGTGAGAAAGGGTTGACTACCTTGATGAAGAAGAACCTTATCAACATTGACAAGAATTCTGCACCGGGTCCTTGCAGTCATTGTCTATTTGGTAAGCAACATAGAGTATCATTTAGTTCTACTTCAACTAAAAGAACAGAGTTGTTAAGTTTGGTACACTCCGATGTCTGTGGTCCTTTCGAGGTAGAATCAATCGGTGGAAGCAGATATTTTCTGACTTTTATCGATGATGCTTCTCGGAAAGTGTGGGTGTATTTCCTGACGACGAAGGATCGGGTCTTTGAGAGCTTCAAGACATTTCACGTCTTGGTGGAACGTGAAATAGGAAAGAAGTTGAAATGTCTCCGATCTGATAATGGAGGCGAATATACATCCAAGGCGTTCGATGCATATTGCAGAGAATATGGCATTCGACATGAGAAGTCAGTACCACGCACCCCTCAGCACAACGGTGTTGCTGAAAGAATGAACCGGACTATCATGGAGCGTGTCCGGAGCATGCTAAATGTGGCTAAACTTCCAAAGTCATTTTGGGGAGAAGCAGTCAACACCGCATGCTATCTTATCAACCGATCACCTTCAGTACCACTGAACTTTGAAGTTCCAGAGAGGCTATGGACAGGTAAGGATCCTACATACTCACATCTTAGAGTTTTTGGTTGTTCATCATATGCACATGTATCCAAAGAGCTCAGACAGAAGCTCGATGCTAGAACTATCCCATGCATTTTCGTTGGCTATGGAAATGAAGAGTTTGGATACAGGTTATGGGATCCTAAGGAGAAAAAGGTGTTCAGAAGCAGGGACGTTGTGTTCCATGAAGATTTGACAATAGAAGACATTGAAAAATCCACAATGTCTCGGAAGTCAAATGAGGGTGTTCAAGTTTCAAATGAAGCACCTGAATTGTTCTTGAGAAACAATGACGAAGTGCATGAAAACAACTCAGAAGCAGAAGAGGATGAGGAGACAGAAGAGAGTATAGAGCAAGGGGAGTCACAACCCACCTCGCCAGGCACAGATGATGGTAGCTCTTCTGAGATGGTTCCAACTGTTCGTAGATCTGAACGAGGCCATATACCATCGAAAAGGTACACATCATCTGAATATCTTTTGTTAACTGAAGATGGAGAACCGGAGAGTTTTCAAGAAGCTGTGTCTCATAAGGATAAAGAAAAATGGCTAATAGCAATGCAGGATGAGTTGGAATCTCTGCAGAAAAATCAAACTTATGAGATTGTAGAACTTCCTAAAGGGAAGAAGGCACTGAGGAACAAGTGGGTGTTCAAGCTGAAGAAGGATGCAAGCGGACAAGTGGTGAAACACAAAGCTCGGTTGGTTGTCAAAGGATTCCAACAGAAGAAGGGAATTGACTTTGATGAGATCTTTGCACCAGTTGTCAAGATGACCTCAATCCGAGTTATACTTGGCTTGGCAGCAAGTATGAACTTGGAGCTTGAACAGATGGATGTGAAGACAGCATTTCTTCACGGAGATTTGAAAGAAGAAATCTATATGCAGCAGCCGGAAGGTTTTGAGAGCTCAAATGATAACTTTGTGTGTAAGTTATCTAAAAGTTTGTATGGCTTGAAGCAGGCACCAAGGCAGTGGAATAAGAAGTTTGACTCATGCATGAAGAGTCAAGGCTACAAGAAGACTACTGCAGATGAGTGTGTATACATCAAGAAACTCCCAGACGGTACTTTCATTGCTCTTCTACTATATGTAGACGACATGTTGATCGTTGGGAAAGATGCAGTGATGATAAACCAGCTGAAGAAAGAACTCTCTAAGTCTTTTGATATGAAAGACTTAGGACCGGCTCAACAGATTCTTGGGATGCAGATCACTCGAGACAGGAAGAATCGCAAGTTATGGCTTTCTCAAGAGAAGTACATTGAACGAGTACTTGAGAGATTCAACATGAATGATGCCAAACCAGTTAGTGTTCCACTTGCGAATCACTTCAAGTTGAGCAAAATAACATGCCCTACATCCAAGGAAGAGATCGGGGAGATGTTAGCAGTTCCATATTCTTCGGCAGTTGGGAGTTTGATGTACGCCATGGTATGCACAAGGCCAGACATCGCACAAGCAGTGGGTACAGTAAGTCGTTTTCTCTCTAACCCTGGGAAGGAGCATTGGGAGGCAGTCAAATGGATTCTCAGATACTTGAAAGGTACCACGAAGTTATGTCTTTGTTACGGAGGAGCTGATCCAAACTTGGAAGGCTACACAGATGCTGATATGGCCGGAGATATTGATAGTAGAAAGTCTACTACAGGATATATCTACACTTTTGCAGGGGGAGCTGTTTCTTGGCAATCAAGATTGCAGAAGTGTGTCGCTTTATCTACAACAGAAGCAGAATACATTGCTGCCGCTGAAGCATGTAAGGAAATGTTGTGGCTAAAGCGTTTTCTCCAAGAACTTGGGATCCACCAGAAAGAGTACCAGGTACATTGTGACAGTCAGAGTGCTCTAGACTTGAGCAAGAACTCTATGTATCATTCTCGTACAAAGCATATTGATATTCGGTATCATTGGATACGGGAGACGATTGATCAACAACTGTTGAGACTAGTGAAGATCAATACAAAGGAGAATCCATCAGACATGCTGACAAAGGTGGTGACACGAGATAAGCTAGAGCTATGCAGAGACATAGTCGGGATGCTTGTTTTGAATATGCCTGGAAGGGGAGAATTGAAGAATTCAATTTCCAGGACATATCCAAGTACAAGCAAATTGAAGAATCCAATTGCAACAACCATGAAGCTTCCTCCATATGCAAGCAACAACCATGAAGCTTCATCAATGTGCAAGAATGACAAAGGGAGCTTCCTCAAAGTTTCCTCATGTTTAATCCCACCTTCCTCCCACCTTCACAGTACCTAGTTTTGGTGCTATAAATAGAGAGCTTGGAGAGTCTTTCTATCATCAAGTAAATTAGAATAGATCATCATAGCACAACCAAGAAGAGTTGTGAATATCCTTGAGAGATATGTGAGGTGTTGTTTTGAGAGTTTTTTAATTAGAGCTTGTATGTCTCTTCTTTCTATTCTTGAAATTAATAGAAGTGTTTTAATAATACAAGCTTGTAGATGTGATGCTACGTATTATTAGCTCAATTGTGAGTTGAATTGTCTTTAATTCCTTCATGATAACATCTGGAAGTTTAGGTTGAGAACAATATATAAGAAATATGATGCATGGGCCGGTGAAGAAGAATACAAAAATGTGGCATAAAACGTAGCGACCCAATGCATGAAAAAAGCAAAGTCCAACGATCCATGCACTTTATACATTTCAGGGAGTAGAAGAAGACGAGGAGGAAGAGAAGCAATGTAACAGAGAATTAATTTCAGGGTCTTCCTCGTAATAATAATCAGCCGCCGCCGTAGCATCAACTCCGGCCGCACCGCCGGAGAAGTTATAAACGCCGGAGGCAGATGACATGGAGGCCGCCGCGGAAGCATTCGGGTGTTGCAGATTAGTCTCTCCCCCGCCGCCGCCAATGACGAGCTTCCTCTTCTTGTAATTGGCCTTGAAGCAAGCTTGCCTGAGCTTTTTAGTTTTCTCCTCCATTTCAGTGTCAGGACACTCTACAATCTCCTTCATCTGATTCTCCAACAGCTCTAACACTTCTCTCACCTTCCCATCTTCTCCGCCCTTCACTAACTCCTTTTCACATTTAGTAATCTATTATTAGTATGTACTGATCACACACATACATCTATAACACTAGACATTAATAGCATACTTTATGCATATAATGGCGCATTAGAAACAAACCAGTACACAAAACAGTTCGGACAAAAAAAAAACAGACATATTTCGGATCAAACCCAATTCAAATCAGTTCGGACAAAAAAAACCGAGTCCATTAAGCATACCTAGTACACAAAAAACACTACCATAAAAATTGAAAACTTAATCACTTGATCACCCATATTTTATAAGTTTCTTAAGCATATCTTATAAAAATATACACGCCATAAAAATGGTTTTGTGATGGATAACAAGAAATTAAATTTTGTTAAAAATCGGTTAATATGGAAACATTTTTTATAAAATCGACTAATTTAAAGAGTCAAGTTAAAATTGAACTAATTTTTCCATGTGTTACTATATGCATAAAATTGACAAATGTAAAGGGTTAAGTTAGAAATTAAACTAAAACTTCTATTACGTGCAAGACAAAAAACAATTTGAATATGTTAAAAAACGACAGTACAAAATATTAGACCTAGTTTTGCTAATGACCTAGAATGTAACCTCCATATTATTCCATAATTAATTACATCATACGTAGTACTCCCTCCGATTCAAAAAGAAGTTTCACCTTTCCTTTTCGGGCAGATTCAAAATTAAGTTCCACTTTCAAACATTTCCTTATTTGGCAAATTATCTACATCAAAACAACGTCAAACAGTGCCAAACATTGCACTCTAGAGTAAAATTAAATTTATTTTCTTAAAATGTGTGAAGTAAAATGTAGAACTTGTTTATGAATGGGAGAGAGTATTATTGTATACTCCGTATAATCAACAGTATCTACAGACTACAATGGGGTGAGGGAATTAATTAGAAGTTTGCAAGTAGCGTATTGGTAGTAGTGGTAATAATTACGAAATTAATAAAGGAGGGAGAGGTGTGAACATGGGAATTAATTAAATTATGCTAACCTGAACATTGGCAATTAAGGTTTGGAGACTCATCAACTTCCTATGCGGCCAACGCCGGATTCCAAGTTCCCGGCACCTCTTTTTCAGCAACGTTAACCCAACATTTAGTTCCTTTGCTGCTTTTGTGATTGGCATGTAGAAATACTTTGAAAGAGTTTCCCTACTTAACATCTTTGATAAACTATTATTATTATTGATATTATTATTCTTGGGGCTGCTGCTTTTGCTTTCCACATTATTAACCTTTCTTCCCTTCTTATTATTCCCATCAACATTATTATTATTGGTATTCTGATGATCATTATTGATGAAAATATTCTTATCCTCTTCATCATTACTTCTCTGGTTTGGGATCTCCACTTTACTAATGCTTCCATATTCATCACCATTCAATAACATCATCTTCTGCTCTTTTTCTCCAAAAGGGTCCTTGTATTTCAAGTCTCTATGGAACAATGAACATCCTATAAAATTTGTACGTAAATTAAATTAAAGAAACAATTTCAAATATATAACCAAAACAAAAGTAGTGAACAAAAATGTGACAATAGTTACTTTAGAGACTATACCTAATCGTATTCAAATGTATCATGACTATAAAACTTACTCATAAAGTTATAGTAACTTATAGTCACATTATTATCCGCTTGGAACCATCAAAACTTAGATAGGTTCAAGAAAAAAGCCTTCAAACAATATATGTGTATATGTATGTATATATCAAGAGTTCAAGAAATGAAGATGTATGAAGTAAATAGAACAGAAACACACGGCCGGCGTACCGTGATCGGTGCTGATTTGTGTTGGATTAATAATGCCAAAGGGGGAAGTGATAGGGTCGTTGAAGAGAAGCATATCCATAGGGGGGAAAGAGTACTCATCGAAACAGCTCTGATGATGATGATCATGACCATCACCTTGCATCGGAAAATCAATGAAGTAGTGCTCCTCATCACAATAAAAATAATCCAAGCCGCAGTTTTCCGGCCATCCGCTGCTGTAGATTGGCGGGGGCGGCGGCGGCTGAAGTGGTGGGTAGGGTGAAAGCTGCTGCAGGCCAGCAGCAGCTGGTTGTTCTCTACCCGTTTTCTCATTACTGACAAACAAAGAACTCATCAATCAGTATGTGAAAAAAGTGCAGTCTTTGCTGTTTTTAATTCTTGAATTACAACACTCCACGGATAAACTAAGATATATATCGAGGGATTACACATATATTACGTTTATATGTATGTGTGTCTAGATGGCCGGGAATGGGGATGGGTGTAACTGAGTAAGTACGATAATTATCGAATTTAGTGCATCGGGAATGGTGGGTCCTACTCAGTAATGATAATGGATTAAACCATGCATGCATGTGTTTTTTGTGTACATACATACTATCCTTTTTTAGGGCTATAGCTAGGGCTGGGTCCGAAAAATCGAAAACCGAAAACTGAATCAAATCATATCGAATCGTAGTCAAATAAAATCGAACCGCTAACAAACCGAAATCGAATGTAAAAAACCGAACCGAATCGTAGTTGTTTGGTTCGGTTTTGGTTTTTACCCTTCAAAATCGAACCGAACCGAACAAACCGAACTAGTTAAAATATACGGAGTAAAATTTATTTGTCCATTGTTAAGCATTAATCCTAACTAATCCTAATATCATTAATAGTTTTTGGTTTTCTTGTGCTAGAGAAATAATGTTTGTTATGTTTAGTTTAGTTTGTGAATTCATTTACACACTCATTGCACGTAATAATGTAGTTATACTGATAATATGTTTTTACTTGTTATTAGTATTAATTAACTTTTATTTTTATTTAACTTAAAGAATTCGTATTGATGAAACAATAAATATTTATCTCAACTATATCACATATAACATACATACTCATGAACTTTTTTTGAACTAGTCACAAACAATGTAAATTAATAATATATACTTTTATCTCTCTCGCATACTCATATAATTCATGACATATTTATTTATTTTCATTTTTATTTTATTTGTTGTAGTGTGCTTGCATTCTTTATGTAATATATGTTTGATCCCTCAAAGTATTATATCATTTTTAAATCAAATGATAATTTTTTGGTAAAAAACCGAAAAAACCGAAACCAAATCGAAACAAACCAAACCAATCAAATCGTGGTTCCAAGTTTTGGAGTGTAGAACCGAACCGAAACCGAACCGAACTTTTTACTTTGATTCTATATTTGGTTTTAGGTCAAAACCGAACCGCAAGAACCGAACCCACCCCTAGCTATAGCGCTTAGTGGATAACAGATTATATTTTCATATATCGAATACGCTAAACAATAAGAGCCTCACAATTATTTACTAAATAATATTTTCACTTATCGAAAACGCTAAAAAATATCAAATCATTTTTTTGCTGAATTGACATTTTCCAAACATTCTAAGTCATCTTTGACTAGTATTACTTATTTTAACTTATACGGAATTTATTTTTACGAAAGGTATAAATTTTATACTTCTATAATACAGTAATACACCTAAGAAGAAAAATCATTTCATTTTCATTTTATAAATACATCCGAATATAAACATATTATTGAAGTGGTCACAATTAAACATCATTATTTAAAAAACTCAAAGTATATACTGGTACAAGTTATTTATGTGTAAATATGTAATAATAATGTGAATGTACTGTACGTGTTATCAGTGCCTTGCTATACTATACGTTCATCATTGATTATTAATTAAGTGTAGTTAAGGCACTTCTACTCGAGAGATGAGTTACATAATAATTTAGAAAATATCCGTATATTACTACACTTGCAGCATGTAGTGTTCTTTCGTAATTCATAATTAATTACTTCAGTAAATACTGTGCCGGTTAGTGGCTAAAACAAGAGGTTACCTTTCTGCGATCCGTTCATTTTATTGTTTTTCGTAATTCATACTCCGAAGTATTTATGGTACAATTCAAATTTTAATTTTACATAATTTTTTATTCCGATAATTTTTGAATAGTTCAAACTCACAAATCTTATACGGAATACATCTTTCAATATTTTTATGATGACGTTTCAATCCTATACAGTTCTTTGTTACTACCTATTTTAAATGATTAAATTTTTAGTTTTTTTATATAATTTTATGGTTGCGAATGGACTGCATATGGGGGTGTTCGACAATCGGCTATTAGCGGTTAGTTGTTGATTGATTGTGCTGATGGTTGGCTTCGGCGAATTCTGTTGGCTGCTTTCATTAGCAGATAGTTTTTTTTTAAATTGAGTCCACATCATTAGCAGATAGTATTAGCGCACGGTTTATAAAATGATATTTGGTTAAATAGCTGTTTATAATCGGCTGATAATTTGTTGAATGACTTTTAAGGATATCAATTAATTTTTTATTTACTAACCACTTTAAGCAATACATTTTATTAATCATATTAGTACAATTATGTACACCATTTTTGTTTAACAAAAAATTACTATGTATAACACAATTAACAATTTTTTTAAACATTGGTTTTCTTGTATTATTAAATTAAATCAGTACTCCGTATGGTTATTATATACGGAGTATTAAATGGAGTAACAAGTAATGCTTTACTAAGAAAAGTTGTTTCAAATTTGAGGAGGTCAAAAAGAAAGAGTGGAAGAGGTCCATTTGCTTTATTACGGAGTATTTCTTTGTTCTCATAGTATGTCAGATTGGCAAGGAGAAGGCCTCTAGCGAGTGGAAGAGAAACAAGAAAATAGTCTAGGAGTAAAATAGGAATGCCCCGTAGATTGCGAGCGGCAAAACATCTAAACGCTATCTTGAGTGGTGTTTTTGGGTGTTTCGATTAAAAAGCCAAATTAAAAAGTCATTAACCGATCACCATATTAGCTGATTGATTTGTTCAAAAAATCAAATAGCGGTCAAATCAATCAAAAAATGATTGATAAACTATTAACCAAACATCCCCATATTACTCCTATTCAGGGAATAAAAAAACATGATACTCCTGTTTTGGAATTTCAAAACGTTTTTGCTCCTATTTAGAGCAATTTTTATGAGTTTAATGCACAAAATCCTCTCGTTATATATGTAGTATAAAATTGACACATTAACCACTCGGTCCACTCGTGATTTAAAAATGTATCAAATCTCCTTGTATTATAATATTCGTGCATAAAACCCTCTCCACGTGTAAATTTCACAATTTTTAAATCACTTATTTTAATGATATGATTGAATATGCAAACAGTTTTGTTAAAATTTCTAAACTATACAAAAATACTAATTATTTTTTATTTATTTGACAAAAACACTAATCATTTTTAATTATTTGCGCATGAATAGATATAACACAAGGGGATTTGATATTTTTTTAAATCACATGAGTCTAATGCGCCGAATTTATATTTGATAAGGGGGTTTGGTGTATTAAACCTCATTTAAGCTTGTACGGATTTTTATTTTGATACACGCTATAGAATTCAAATGTGAGAGGAAGTAATGTTAGAAAGATAATTGGATTAGATGGATGTTTCTTAAAGGAAGTAATGTTAAATGTGAGAATGATATTTACCTTTTGTTGATCGCTTATGACAGTCCAGGGAGAGCTATCCACAATTTGAAGATCTTCCTTCAACAGCTCTAAAAACCAAGACCAGGATGAAGTGTTTTCAATCTCAACTATTGCCCATGCAATAGGGTACATGTTGTTTGCATCCCTTCCAACTGTTGTCAGTATTTCTCCCTTCAATAAGCCCTTTAAGAAACATCCATCTAATCCAATTATCTTTTTGTATCCCTCTAAAAATCCCTTTTTCATTGGACCAAAGCAGCAATAAAATCTCTAGAAGAGGCATGGGGCATCATCAACTACTCTGGAGATCAAGATCTTCACAGTACTGTTGGGAATTGAATCCAACAACTCTTGACTATAATCTCTAAGCCTATTAAACTATTCTGCAAAGCTGGCATTTATTCTTTTCTTTATGCAGCTGACAGCCCTCCTCACCATGCTAAAAGAAATATGAATGCCAAGTTCAGACTCAATGTGCTGCTTTAAGGCCACATAGCCAATACAGGGGTCATCTCTAACCTTGTCCTCGTATTTATCTTCTATCCATTTTTGAGACACAACTCTCGGCTTGAATTTTGCATTACACAAATGTGTGTTGTTCATGCTTTTCACTTGGAAGCACTTGAATTTGTCTTCTCAACTTGCATAACACAAAAAGGGGCAATTTTCTTGAATGCATTGTGCACGTACTCTCTTTGATTCATTCCTCTTAAAGAATATGTTCTTCTTATGGTGCACAACGTATCTAATGAGGGTACTCTTAAATTGAATGTTGTCCTCAAAAAGCATCCCCACCTCAATATCAGGAGGTTCACTCTGTGGGTTGGTTGTATGAAGGATGATGGTCTTTAAGGTTGGAATCCACTTCATCTTCATTCATATTCGAGCCATCTGAAATATAACTTGGTGGGTTATCAGAAGGGTACAACTTCATGCTATCTTCATAGTCCTCAGCCTCATGTGCAAACTCCTTATTACTGTGTGGCATACTCCCCAAAACATCCTCATTATCAATCACATTATCATAATCAGAAGCATCATCATTACTGAGAGGAGGGTCTTCTTGGCACTCCAAATCTTCTTCATCATCTGCAGCCTGAATTTCCTCTTCAGCCCTCTCAGATTGATTGTGTGCATCTTTCTTTCTTCTTTCTTTGAACTTCCTTCTCCTCTTGATTCTAACCCCTTCATCATCACCACATGTTTGGCTTTGTACTTCACAATTATGCAGCCCTCCATCACAACCAACTTGGGAGTCAACTAAACTTTCTTGATGCTCAACTACAACAGAATTGGAAGGTTGAAGCAAATACAATTCACATACTCCACAACTAGAAGACAAGCTGACCAAGTCCAATGTGGTAGTGATAGAGTATATCTAGAGAGAAGTGAGAGCTAGAGAGAGAAGTGCAATAATATGCTTCAATAGAATGAATTCGTAACCCCTATAACTACTCCCAAGGGGAGTATTTATAGAGAAAATACGGGCTGGGCTCCCAAGCCTTGGGCTTGGGAGGCCCATTTACAACTGGACCGCTACTGGGCCGAATACAAAGCCACTAATGGGCTGTACAAATGAGTAAGTGTAGAATCCGGTTCTGTGAGGTCTTTGTGGCCGACGAGGGCGCGGCCGACGAGGGCACGGCCGACAAGGGCGCGGCCGAAGAGGGCACCCGGGTTCCTTGGGCTCAGGACCATAATCTGAGTTGGCACCTTTTCGGCCGACGGGGGTCCCTTGGCCGACGAGGGCGCCACTCTGTGTCTTGTGCTTTCTGTTCTTCTGAGTATGTGGGTCTGGGGGCTCAGACCCATATACTCCATCAGGAGTCCCCCACTCTCTAAGCTGAGACGTAGACGAAGTGAAGGAGAGTAGATTTCCGTGCTTTGGTGCTTTTGGCCGATGCGGGCACTCTCAGGCCGTTAGCTGTTGCGGCGTTGGTGCTGTCTCCATTTTGGTGGTCTTGTTCTGTGCTTTGGCCGTTACCTGCTCCTCGCTGTGGACGGGGAGGCCGTTGTTTCCTTGGTGTGTTCATTTGGGGACGATGAGTGTCCTGCTTCGATGGTGGCCGTTGAAGGCGCGTTTTCCCTTTCTTGGACGTTGATGGTTGAGATTTATGTTTGGGCCGATGAGGCCGTCGAGGTTGAACCTTGCTTCGAGGACGATGGGCGTCCTTTCATTTGGGTGGCCGGTGAGGGTGCTTGCGCACTCCTTTTAACCGTTACTGATGATGTTATGTGCCTTTGGCCGACGAGGCGCCGTGTTGTCCAAAGTGCCTGGCCGGAGATGGAGTCACAAAAACCTTGGCGCCGTTGTGATACATGGACGATGTGGCCATGCTTTGTGGTTACATTTGTGTTTGCATTTTTCCTTTTTGTTTTGTTGAGGCCGATGTAGTCCCCCAGTCCCCCACTGCTTCAGGCCGAAGAGTGTGAGGGGTGAAGGAGTTGCTTGAGTCCCTGGCCGAAGCGGCCTCTCCGTAGTGCCCCTGGATCCAACCCTTATGGCGATTTTCTGGCCAAGGTAACCCTGTGGGAGAACCCTTGTGCGCAGATCGCTTGTAAAGAGTTATCACCAAAGGTCGTTACGAAGAGTCGATGGCTGCAGGTTCTTTGTTCCTTTGGTTCTGTGGCCGTTACCGGTTTTCATGACGTTCCTGGCCATTGTTGCCTTCTTGTTGCTGGCCTTTGTGAAGCTGGTAAGCGTATAGGCCGTTGTGGGCGCTTGCTGGCGCTTGTGAAGCCGGCAAGCATATAGGCCGTTGTGGGCGCTCGTTGTCCATGTGATCCGTAGGCTTTTACTCCTCCGATAAGTTGGTTCACGAGCCCGGCCCATTTCTGAAGGGGTGTCACCTCATCGGCTGCTGGGAAGGTGACCGCTGAGGTGGCCATTGATATGGTGCCACGTGTAGTGACCGTTGGAGATTTGTCTATAAATACCCCCCCTCCTCCGAAGCAGTTCCTCACTTGCATTCTTGAGATATTGAAGTGCTGCCCAAATTTCTAGAGAGAGAGAGTCTTCAAGGTGTTCTTCGAGTTCTTCATACGTTCAAGGTTAGTTCTTGACTTGTTCTTCAATTCCTTTGTATACTTAGCTTCCCTGAGCCTTGATCTAGTGTTAGTGGATAAAACGCCTTAGATCCTAAGTGATTCCCTTTAGGCTCGTAATAGTTGTTATGATGAAGAGCTTACACGAAGAGTACTATCCGTACGACGACCAGCCCTCCACTAGGTCACTCGACTATGAGGTGCTTAAGTCCTTACAAGTCCGGAGAGCCGGTGGACGACGAAGTTGAGGACGAGGAGTCTGCCTCATCTTCAAAAGGTGAGGACGCAGGTGCGTCCCGAGTGGTGGACGGGGCGTCCACTTCCGCTGTTATTCCGTGCCCGAGACCGGTGTCTGCCGTGAAGGGAGCAGATAAGCCGAAGAGAATAAGGAGGCCGAAGAGTGGGCTGGGCGTCTCCTATTTGGATCTCACAAATATTTTCCTGATCAAGCCGGAGAGTAGCGCGACTGACTACTTAGTTGCCCAGATGTACGTGGGGCCGTTCGAGAGGGTTAGGGCACCCAGGCCGACGGACCATGTACTCCATCCGCCACCGGGATACTTCGGAGTATACCCGATGAGTTTCGCCAAGGGGCTGAGGTTTCCCCTTCATCCCTTCATCACTGAATATCTGGACATGGTGGGACTTCCTCCGGCCTTGCTGACCCCGAACAGCTACTCGTTGATGGTGGGGTTCTTGCTCCGCTGTGAGGAGTTGGGCTACAGACCGACGACGGCTCTTTTCATGAATCTTTATCAGATCGGCCGAGGAAGCCACAAGAACTGTGCGGCCTATGCTACTCTCCAACAGCTGCCGAAGAAGAGGAGCTTCACGGACTTGCCTTCGTCCATTCATGGGTGGAAGAGCAAGTTCGTTTTTGTATCCCTTGGTGAGAATGGCACTGAGTTTCCCTCTCTCGGCCACACCGGGAGGTTCAATCTGCACGACCCGCCGAGGAGTTCTATCTTGGACGCTCAGGTGGAGGCGTTTTTGGAAGGGGGGCCGAGGAGCGTGAAAGACTACATCACCGAATATAAGATGACCGCCCTCGGCTTCTCTAGGTACTATGTGTATGGCGACAAGGAGGACGATGTCCAACTTTGGCCGAGGATGACCACTACCTTCGAAGAGGCCGACGGCCCGGATTTGGGCATTCCTGCTGAGGCCGATGGTAATTCTTTCTTCGGCTTTCTTCCTTTGTTATTTGTTCTTTTGCCTTGCTAATCTGTTCGTTTTCCTTTGTGTAGATTTTGTCATGGATCGCCGTTCAATCATGGCCATAGCCAAGGCCAAGGCGGCTGAGGAGTTGGCTGCAAAGGCGGCCGAGGCGGCCAGACGTGCCGCGGCCGAGGGGGGCGGGGCTACTGCTGGTGCGGCCCCGAAGCCTGCCCAGTCCAAGAAGAAGAGGCCTCCCACTGACGGTCAGAAGAAATTGACCGAGGCTGGCCTGAATGTCACTAAGAAGACGAAGAGGGCACCGTCTTCTTCCCATGCCGATGAGGTCGGTACTTTGATCGTCCCAAGTGTGGACGATAGTGGTCCCGTTGTGGATCTTACTGCTGCTCCAAGCGATGCTGTCCAATCGCTCCCTCTCGTCCAGGAGCCACGGACGAAGAGGGCCGGGCCAGCAAGGAGATTGCCGCTGCCACCTACCAGAAAATGGTGGAATACCCCGTCTGCGGGGGTGTTTTTGACGATGTCGTCCTCGGCCATGATGTGCTGGCCCAGGCCATGCCGGCCAAAGATCGGGCCTACCTCAAGAGGCTCGGGGACGTCAAGGTGTACGAAGGCGGGATGGACCTCCTCGTCCATGTAAGTTCCCTTCCTTCTTATTTGTCGTTTTTCTCGTCGTCCAGGTGGAATCATTTGTCTGAGTCTTTGTTTGCCTTTTTGTGCAGGGTGCCTTCATGCTCATGGAGAGCCACAAGAGGCAGCACCGGGAGATTGCTCGCCTGAGGGAGCTTGAGCAGAAGGCTGCCTCGGCCGATGAGGCGGTAGCCTGCTTGGATCGGCTCCGGGAGGATGCCAAGGCCTTGCAAAAGAGGGCTGATGAGGCAGCTGCAGCCAGGGACGATGCCCTGGCCAAACTCGAGGAGAGCCAGAGGGCGCTTGAGGCTGAACGGCGCAAAAATGATGAAGCCGTGAAGGCAAAAGCTGAGGCCGAGGCTGCCGCTGTGAAGGCCGCTGATGAGGCCGTTCAGCAGTTCTTGGCCGAGGGGTGGAAGGTCGATGAGCGGCTCTCTTGGTGTTAGGAAGTGGTGGCCGCCAAGCTTGAAGATTGGGGAATGAACTCCCCCGCCGGCCAGGAGTACTTTAGCAGGGAGATGGCCGTGTACTACAACATGGGCCAAGAGCGGATGCAGAGGCTCCTGTGTCGGCGGCTATCGCGTGCCCTCAAAGCCATGAATTATACCTCCGGGTGGGTGAGGCGGAACTTGAAGCTTCCCAAGCTGATGAAAGATCCCGAAGAGCAGGCCAAGCTTCCTCTTTCGGAGCGGGAGCCCCCAATCGAGAGTTCCGGCCTCGGCGAGTCGAATTACGACGAGTTTGACTTCTTGGACGATGCCACCAGTTCTGCAGCTGCTGTCGACCAGGAGACTGAGGCCGGGGAGGGAGCCGAAGATGCCGAAGAGCAAAACCAGGTTGGGCATGGAGGCGCCCAAGAGTCTTGATCGGCCACTCCCCGCTCCCTATCTTGTAATTAATTTTCTATTTTTGCCCATCTGATGTAATGGCCGAAGTGCCCACCAATATACTTAATTGTTTATGAATGAACGTCTTGCTGTTCTGCTCGGCTTTGAATGTCTTGCATTTCTATTCCCTTTTGCTATTTCAGTTTTGAAATTTGTCTAAGTGTAAGAGTTACAACTTAGGTCACCCGCGAGTGTCTGCTACGTCCGTGAGGTAGGCCATTCAGTCTGGTGGCCTGGTCGGCCTGTCCGGTCTTTCTTTGTTGTCGTAACACTTGGGATTTATTCAGAAAATTTCTAAGTGTTTTAGATCCACTTAGGTGTTTTCCTTTCCGTCCTTGACTGAGGCGGGCAAGCTGAGGTGTCCGCTACGTCCTGGCGTTGTCCCATTCTTCTTTTTTGTTAGAATTTTTCTAAGTGCCTAACTTCAAGTGGATGGGTGTTCTCATCGTCCTGGTATTGAAGCTCTCTCAGCGTTGACCAATGATTTGGGAAATTCCCTAAGTGCTGAACCAATGTCGTTGTGGTCGGCCCAGTGTTTTTCGTGGCCGTCGTGTTCCCTTGTTTCTGATCTGATCAGGAAGGTCAGCCTGGATCCTTGTGTTGTGGCCGATAAGGGCACCTTGAACTTAGTTTTTTGAACTTAGAATTTTTTCTAAGTACACATGCAAGACACAGGTAGCTAACGGCCTGCGGGTATACAGGTGCCCGCCTCGTCCATGGTTTCTTCATACGAATACTTAGAAAATTTTCTAAGTATAAATGCCAGACAGTTTCTTCTTTGGGGTACCGTTGTCGGCTAAGAGGTGGCCCTACCTTCATCGGCCAAGGCCTGGCTTTTGTGGCTGATGAGGCTGCCTTTTGCTTTCCCCAATGGTTTCTCTAAGTGTCGGAATTCTCTTAAGGAACCTTTTTCCTTAG